AAATATGAAAAACATCAAATTTACTTGTCAAAACAATGAAAATGTCAACACTTTTGTAACTTACACAAAATAACATTAGTTAAATATTAGTAAAACATTAGTAACATTAGTAAAATAAACCAAAAATTACTCTAGGTGATATATCGATACAGCAGCCCACGATATTGATACTGTATCATCACATTAAACGACACGATATAACGATATTTTCAAAGGTGATTTCTAAAAATGGAGGTGCACTGTAAACTTGTTATAAAGAATTTGAGTGGTGTTTTTCTCATCTCGTCACGCTGAGATTAAGATTAAAAATTCTATCGTAAAAATTGCTTTCAAATGAGTATTCACGTGGTTTATTGTTCATATTTTGGTAATTACTGTCCACAAAGTGCAGCGTCTTCTCTGTCAAATGAAACTGTTTTTGAACTACAGTTTTAGAAAGAGATGGTATTAATCACTCAGAACAGAATGTGAAAGACCAAATGATTAACGACTGAGTTGATGCAGTCACGGACAATGAATGGGTTTCGACATATGGAGATTTTCAATTTTGATAAAAAAAACAAAACAAAACCAAAAAAACAGGACTAAACAAGGAATGAACCAGGACTAAACCAGGACTGAACCAGGACTACACCAGGACTGAACTAGGACTAAACTAGGACTAAAACAGGACTAAACCAGGACTGAACTAGGACTAAAACAGGACTAAACCAGGACTGAACTAGGACTAAAACAGGACTAAACCAGGACTGAACCAGGACTACACTAGGAATGAACTAGGACTAAACCAGGACTGAACTAGGACTAAAACAGGACTAAACCAGGACTGAACTAGGACTAAACCAGGACTGAACTAGGACTAAAGCAGGACTAAAACAGGACTGAACCAGGTCTAAACCAGGACTAACACGAGGACTGAACTAGGACTAAACCAGGACTAAAACAGGACTAAACCAGGACTAAACCAGGACTAAAACAGGACTGAACTAGGAATGAACTAGGACTAAACCAGGACTAAAACAGGACTAAACCAGGACTAAAACAGGACTAAACCAGGACTGAACCAGGACTAAAACAGGACTAAACCAGGACTGAACTAGGACTAAAACAGGAAAACAGGACTAAACCAGGACTGAACTAGAACTAAAACAGGACTAAACCAGGACTGAACTAGGACTAAAACAGGACTAAACCAGGACTGAACCAGGACTAAAACAGGACTAAAACAGGACTAGAGATCGAACATTTATGTAAATTTGTCTGAACACATTCTGTACTGAACAGGAGACATGGCACGGAGGTGAGTGATTGACAGCGGTCTACAGCCAATCAGGACGCAGGGGGAGGAACACAATAACACACTTATACACTGTTTAAAAAAAGTCAGCAAAATTGCACTAAAAAAGGGACGACTGTACACAAAAAAGGGTTTGTCTGTGATTTATAGGCCCGTCCATGTGAAATCTTGACAAAAATGTATTATGTTTAAGTAATTTTATGAGAGAACAAAACTACAGAGTGCCGTTTGGCTTTAGCAGAAGTGATTTTAGTCTAATTTTAGTCTAATTTTGTTTTAAATTAAACTAGGGCTGGGTGATTTGGCCTGAACACAAAACTGATGATTTCTTCTCTAAAAAGCAAAAGCAAAAAAACTGAATGAATGAATAATTACAGTTTTAGAAAGAGATGGTATTAATCACTCAGGACTGACTGTGAAAGAAAACATGATTAACGACTTAGTTGATGCAGTCACGGACAATTAATGGGTTTCAGTATCTGGAGATTTTCAATTTCATTTTCTTTTTTAAAATATAACAAAAAAAATGCCTCGTCTGTAATCTGTAAACCCCCCCGTATGAGATCTTAACAACAAAGTCTATTATTTTTAAGTCGTCATATTGAATAAAATAAAATAAACATAAAACAGTGTCTCATTCAGCTGGACGTGAAGTGATTTTAGTCAAATTTTCATCTAATTGTTTTAAATTAAACTCGCGCTGGGTGATTTTGCCTAAAAATAAAATTAATTTTTTCCCAAACGCTTCAATTTTCGTTTGTTTTTTCCCCTCTCCGCTAAAAACGTTTTGCAAATCACAGAAACTCGTCGCTGTCAGTAATCATATTTAACGCACCGAGAGAAATCTGTCTTCGTTTTTATGAGATAAAACAACACATCATTTCTAAAACCCAGCTTCCTGCGCCTGCGGTGAGACTTTCTTTCAATTCCGACGCGATTTCCAACACGAGAAAGTGACAGAAATCAATTTATTTTCTTTAAAACAAACTGATTTGAACTTAACGGTTTAACTGATTTTTTTTGTACAGCTCTAAATGAAACTAATAGTTGTTTAATGTTTTTTTTGTTAGTTTTTTTTTGTGGTAACATTAAAAAACAATTTTCAATCTTAATAAATTGTAAAAATGAACAGCACTAAACTTGTAACTTGCAATGAAAAGCCGAAACTGCCCGAAGCCAAACTCTTATTTTGAAAAGGTCAGATTTAATGAGAGAACGTTAAGAGTTGTATTTTTATTGCACTTTTAGACCCTTTAAAATCCCAAGTCATAAGAACGTTCAGAATTCTGGAATGAAGGCGACTGGAGCCAAAGTGAAGCCGACGTTTTAGATATTTTCAATGATTTAAATGATGAGCAGGACTAAATGCTAATGGTTTTACAACATTATAACACAAAATAAATAAGAGTTTAGATTATCGTGATAGCGTATCGTCAAAAGTCTCACAATAATATCACGGGACTGTCACAATATGTCGAATTACAAGTTCCTTTACTTAAATGCGTTGTTTTATAGTAGTAACAGTTGATAAACTTCGGGAACTACATATCCCATGATTCATTTCAGCGCAGACAACACGAAGAAACATGTTTTTCACTTGAATTCTTGGGATTATGACGGAAATAAATCACACCAAATTCTTGTCAAGGTGTTTTAAAAGCAAAAAAGTTTCCTATTTCCAATTATATCAGCGTCCACAAAATATCGTGATAGTATCGTGATAATATCGTACCGAGAGATTCGGATATCGTTACATGTGCACTGTATATATACGAACAGTTTCTTTATACAGTCTGTGTGTTAATATTCAGGTCAATATTTCAGCAATTGTTTAAATAGAAAAAAAAAAAGAGCTTGCTAAACTATTTGACAATTTGTGTTTATCTTAAAATTCTTAAAGTAGGCAAGATTTCAAGTGGCCTGTTTGATAAGAAGAACTGCAAAACCATTATTGCAAAATTGGGTCAAAATAAGGGGAAACTCAATATTTTATGTGCAAAATTATAAGTGTTTTTATACGTATACATTTCCTGGTTTAGTCTTGGTTTGGAGTTGATTTAGTCCCTGATTTCTTCCTAGTTCAGTCCTGGTTTATTCCTGGTTTAGTCCCTGGTTTAGATCTGGTTTAGTCCTGGTTTAGCAGCTGGTTTGAATCTGATTTACTCCTTGTTTAGTCTCTGATTAGTCCCAAATTAATCTTGGTTTAGATCTGGTTTAGTCCATGCATAGTGCTGGTTTAGTCCCTGTCTTAGTTCTGGTTTAGGCCCTCATTTATTTTTGTTTTAGTCCCTCACTTAGTTCTGGTTTAGTCCTGGTTTAGTCCTGGATTGGATCTGATTTCATCCTTGTTTAGTCCCTGATTTAGATCTGGATTAATACTGGTTTAGTCCTTGCATAGTGCTGGTTTGGTCCTGGTTTAGTCCCTGTTCAGTCCTGGTTTAGTCCCGGGTTTATTTAGTTCTGGTTTAGTCCTGGTTTGTATCCGATTGACTCCTGGTTTAGTCCCTGATTTAGTCCGGAATTAATCCTGGTTTAGATCTGGTTTAGTCTGTGCATAGTGCTGGTTTAGTCCTGATTTTGTCCCTGTTCAGTCCTGGTTTAGTCCCTGGTTTATTTTGTCCTGGATCTGGATTAGTCCTTGTTTAGTCCCTGATTTAGTCCCGGATTAATCCTGGTTTAGTCCTTGCATAGTGCTGGTTTTGTCCTGGTTTAGTCCTTGTCCAGATCCAGTTTAGTCCTTAGTTTACTAAAAAAAAAACATATCGCTCTATATGACAAACTTCAGAAAATATAAACTGACTTATTCTTAGAACGACAGACTCCGGCAACTATGTACCTGAATAATGACTAAGTAATAAATAATAGCAATAAAAAGGGATTATTTTACGATCTTGAATTTATGCACCACGCTCTGCAAACGTGTCCATATCAAAAACATTATCACCTCTTACATAATTTTGCAGGTAACACAGTATTCCAAGTGCATCGTAAATGTTCAGTACGTGTCTCAAGGTTATGGCTGCGTTTGCTTCCTTATTACGGGGCATACTATTAGCTACGATGTCAAAACTACAATGCCTGACCTATCAACAAGGTTAATTACGACACCAAAAATTACACAGTCCAGACAGGTGTGCAACAGCTCGATACATAAAAAAACAACAAAATATACGTACTTTTTTTAGCGTATGCACTGTTAATTACACGTAAAAGTGCGTTAATTACATTGAATTAGCGGTCATCGATGTATCAAATCAATGTATTTTTAGCGTAATAATAAATAAATGAGAAATCGTGTTGTACTTTTTTTTTTTTTTTTTTTTTTTTTTTTTTTTAATGGGATGTGCAAGTTCGCTACTGCGGTAAAAAGCCAAAAAGCGTGTCCCGGGAAAGAGGCAGGGTGCAGACAAACATGACGTAATGGGTGCTGTTTTATTTTCACTTTTTTTCCGCCTATAGAGTGCCGTGATTTATTTATTTATTAATTTATTTTTTGTAGAGCCGTGTCCACTTTAAACACGTCCGACCTCACGCTACCTACGCAGATTTTTCGCTCCATTACCTACGAGCCATTTTACACACAGTTGAAACGGCAAAAAAAAAAAAAAAAAAAGGGGAAAAAAAAAAAAAAAAAAAAAAAACGTGTTAGAAATACCCCCAAAAAATGCGAGGTTTGACTAAGATACAACCCGCGTGCTCTTACCTGACGTCGTCTCGCTTGTCACGTCCAGCTGTAGACGCAAAATCCTCCCCAAAAAAAGCGGCGGTTGCGATCGCTTTTCGGCTTTTCGGGGGTCGGGGACAGCCAGCACGCACGCCCCGCTCGGTCCTCCTCCGTCCGACAACACCGCGGCGCTATCCTAAAATGAAAAACGTGGCAAATCCTGGTTAGAAATGAACTTTTAAGCTTTTTTTGTGTGGCTAAAATGCGGCTATCTGCGCCTAGAGCTAGATCGCTAACTACTTTTAAGGCTAGGTTAGAAGCAACAAGCGATTTTGACAGTTCGAGGGATTGTTGACTCAAGAATCGAAATAGGGGTTTTTACAGCAATAACAACAACAAAAATTCCACTTTAAATCCAAATTCCACCCGTTTAACACGTTTAATTTAGCTTTAACACGTTTCTGATTAAGTTTAGCTCGATGTTTTTCATAACTCGTGTCGAGTTTGTGAGTTTAATCGGTCATGTTTTGCCGTCGTCCCCTATTTCCCGAGTGGTACGGTCCGCATGAAGCGAGGGTAAAGGGAGGGGGGAGCTGTTGCCGTGGAAACAGCAGTAAATGGGGAAGATGGAGCCGCTGATTTACGAAGCCGTCTGCCTCCGTCTGTGCATTTTCCCGTCAAAAATCTGATTAAATTAAACATTACGAAGATGATATTGGTTTATTAATGTCGTAAATAATCACAAAGAGGTCGTATTTTGGTATGAAACGTGTAGGCTACGGTTTTCAAGCTGTTTCAGGCAAAATAAAGAACGGAAAAGCAAAGTACGGCGTAGGCTGCTTCTACTGGGTCAATACAAGTTTAACAAATAAAAACTTCCTCACATAAAAATAGTAAAAGTGCTGGTTTAGACCCGGTTTAGCCTCTTGAGACCTTTTGTCTGGTGTGCATTTTTTATTTTAATTTTATTTTTTATTTCTACTTGCACACAAATAGACACCATTGGTAAAAAAAAATCGTTATCTTCACCATCTAACAAGTGTTTACGCCTATAAACTTTTTAAATATGTTAAAACTTTACTTTAAGCAAATGTACCGCTTAAATTAACTATTGACAACTGTAAACTCGAGCGTCGTAAATCGGTCTTGGTCTCGTGACCGGCCTCAAGACCGCGTTTTTACGGTCTTGTCTCGGTCTTGATGGCGCTTGGTCACGGTCTTGTGTCAGTTTTGGCCTTTAAAAGTCTCAGTCTCGACCCTCAGAGGTCTTGGTCTTGTGCTGGTCTCGGGACTCTGTGGTCTCGGACTGGTCTTAGTCTGGATTAGTGCGGTTTTGACTACAACACTATAAACTCATCTAAATATTCCCAAGTTTATCTAACAAAAATCAATACAATCAATAAGATTACATCGTCCCAATGTCGTCAAACGAGGACGTGACATTTCCTGATGCTCTCGTCTGCTGTGATCACTAAAATGTGTCAAATTTTAATGCCACATGAAGACAGAGACATAATTGTACATAAATACGTTGGTTTCATTCATAACATTTGGATATAAACTTTACCCTGCTGTTTTTTGTTTTGGGAGCTGCTGTAGAAGATTCTTGTTGATTTTTGTTTCACTGAAATTGGTTCAGTGTTGTGATATCTCCACAATAAGAGGCAAAAAAATATGAAGACGCAGGGTCTCAAGAGGTTAAACCTGGTTTAGTCTTGGTTTAGTCCTAGTTTTGTCCTAATTTTAGTTCTGTTTTATTTCTGATATAGCCCTGGTTTAGTCCTGATTTAGTCCTGGTTTAGTCCTAGTTTAGTCCTGGTTTAGTCCCGGTTTACTCTGTGTTTAGTCCTGGTTTAGTCTGGTGTTTAGTCTGGTTTAGTCCTGGTTTAGTCTGTGTTTAGTCCTGGTTTAGTCTTAGTTTTAGTGTTTAGTCCTGTGTTTAGTTAGTCTGGTTTAGTCCTGGTTTAGTCTGTGTTTAGTCCTGGTTTAGTCTGGTGTTTATCTGTGTTTAGTCTGTTTAGTCTGTGTTTAGTCTGTGTTTAGTCCTGTTTAGTCTTTTAGTCTGGTTTAGTCTGTGTTTAGTCTGGTTTAGTCTGGTTTAGTCCTGATTTAGTCTGTGTTTAGTCCTGGTTTAGTCCTGGTTTAGTCTGTGTTTAGTCCTGGTTTAGTCCTGGTTTAGTCTGTGTTTAGTCCTGGTTTAGTCTGTTTAGTCCTAGTTTAGTCTGTGTTTAGTCCTGGTTTAGTCTGTGTTTAGTCCTGGTTTAGTCCTGGTTTAGTCTGTGTTTAGTCCTGGTTTAGTCTGTGTTTAGTCCTGGTTTAGTCCTGGTTTAGTCTGTGTTTAGTCCTGGTTTAGTCTGTGTTTAGTCCTGGTTTAGTCTGTGTTTAGTCCTGGTTTAGTCTGTGTTTAGTCCTGGTTTAGTCTGTGTTTAGTCCTGGTTTAGTCTGTGTTTAGTCCTGGTTTAGTCTGTGTTTAGTCCTGGTTTAGTACAGGTGTAAGAAAAAATCGATTCAGTGATATATCGTGATACTTCATTGCACAATACTCAAATAGATTAAAAATGTGTCCGAATAGATTTTTTCAATAATTTTTCACAAAAATTCATTAGTTACATTCACTCTTTTGATGATTTAAACATTTGTCTCAATTATATTCCATACAATTGTGTTCTTGTGAAGGTGCAGTTGACTGTATTAATAGAAGTAATTATTGATAAATCACAATATATCGTTCTATGTTTTAGTATCGGAATATATCGGAATATATAAGGATATATCAAATCATAACATGTATATTATGATATGTTTTGTATCGTCAGACTCATGGCAGTGCACAACCCCAACTGTTTAGAGAGACGTAATATTTTATATTTCCAAAAGTGTTTTTATAAGGATTGATTTCCTGGTTTAGTCCTGGTTTATGCCTGACTTAGTCCCTGGTTTAGTCCTTTTTTAGATCAAATTTATTCCTTGTTTTGTCCCTGATTTAGGGCCGGATTAATCCTAGTTTGAATTTGGTTTAGTCCTTGTTTAGTCCTAGTTTAGTCACTGAGTTATTCCTGGTTTAGTCCCTGATTTAGTCTTGGCTTAGTCCCTGATTTAGTCCTGGTTTAGTCCTGGTTTAGTCCTGGTTTAGTCCTGGTTTAGTCCTGGTTTAGTCCTGGATTAGTCCTGATTTAGTCCTGGTTTAGTCCCTAGTTTAGTCCCTGATTTAGTCCTGGTTTAGCCCTAGTTAAGTCCTGGTTTAGTCGTGGTTTAGTCTCAGGTTTAGTCCTGGTTTACTCCTGGTTTATATCAAATTTAGTCCTTGTTTAGTCCCTGATTTAGGCCTAGATTAATCCTGGTTTAGATTTGCTTTAGTCACTAGTTTAGTCCTGGTTTAGTCCCTGATTTACTCCTTGTTTAGTCCTGGTTTAGTCCCTGGTTTAGTTCTGGTTTAGTCCCTGGTTTATTCTTGTTTTAGTCCCAGTAGTTAGTCGTTAGTTAGTTCTCATTTGGAAAAGAGACAAACTGTAATTCAAAGTAAGAAAAACGTAATACTTATTTTACATATTTAAAATGTTTATATTTATATTTATTTTGAATATTTGTCACTTGTTTCATTTTACATTTTTTAACATTTACAATTTAGAAAAGACAAACTGTAACTATTTTAATGAAGTAAAAAAGTGTTATTAGGTGTATATTTATATTTATTTGTATTTTTCACTTGTTTTATTACATTTTTTAGCATTTATTAAAAAGAAACAAACTGTAATTCTATTTTAATTTAAAAGTGTTATATTTGTTTTAGGTGTATATTTATATTTTTATTGGGGGTATTTTTCACTTGTTTCTTACATTTTGGACATTTTCTTACAGCATTTTGTCAATTTAAAAGAAACAAACTGTAATTCTATTTTAATTAAGTAAAAAAAGTGTAATATTTGTTTTAGGTGTATATTTATGTTTATTTGGGGGTATTTTTTACTTGTTTCTTAGCATTTTGGACATTTTCTTACAGCATTTATCCCGTAATTGGGCACATCTGTTTTGGCGGAGCGTCTGCCGACACACAGAGCTCTGTTGTTTTTTAGCGTCTCGTCAACAACCGTCCAGTCAGTTCACAAAAGTCCAAAACGGTAATGAACGTCCAGAAACGACATAGAGTTTAGCCTTGTTTAAGACGAGCGACTGCTGCCTACACCATGTGCAAACACAATGGACGTACAGGCGATAAAGAGCGCTCTGTGCAGCAAAGGACTGTGGGTAAAGACGGGGATGCGGTCGGACGAGACACTGGCCTATTCTGTTTACATTTCACAGCGTTTGTCACTCAACGTCAAATGCGGTTTCTGCGACAGCGTGTGGGGATGTTTTGTATTCAACGTTTTTGTGTTTATCTTAGAATTCTTAAAGTAGATTTGATTAAAAACAATTAAAAATAAAATAAGACCGGAAAATACTTCATTGCCCTGGTTTATTCCTGGTTTAGTCTTGGTTTATTCTTGTCTTAGTCCCTGGTTTAGTTCTGATTTAGTCCCTTGTTTGATTTTGGTTTAGTCCCTCTTTTGGTCCTTGGTTTAGCCCCAGGTTCCGATCTGGTTTAGGTCTGGTTCAGATCTGGTTTAGTCCCCTGATTTATTCCTGGGTTAGTCCTTGTTAAGTCCCTGGTTTAATCCTGGTTTAGTCCCTGGTTTAGTCCCTGGTTTAGTTCTGGTTTAGTCCCTGGTTTATTCCCTGGTTTAATCCCTGTTTTAGTTCTGGTTTAGTCCCTAGTTTATTCCTGACTTATTCCGCTTAGTCCCTGGTTTTGTTCTGGTTTAGTACCTGGTTTGGATTTAGATTAGTCCCTGGTTTATTCCCTTGTTTAGCCCTGGTTTAGTCCTGGTTTAATCCTGGTTCACATCTGGTTTAGCCCCTAATTTAGTCCTAGTTTAGCCCCAGACATCTGATCTGGTTCAGTCCCTGGCTTAGCCCTGGTTTAGATATGGTTTAGTCCTGATTTCGTCCTAGTTTAGTCCTTTTTCTGTCCTTGGTTTAGTCCTGGTTTAGTCTTGATTTAGTCCTGGTTCATATCAGGTTTAGTCCCTAGTTAATCCTGCTTTAGCCCCAGGTTCCAGTCTGGCTTCGTCCTGGTTTAGGTCTGGTTCAAATCTGATTTATTTCTTGTTTAGGCCCAGATTAATCTTGGTTTGGATTTGGTTTAGTCCTAGTTTAGTCCCTGGTTTATTCCCTTGTTTAGTCCTGGTTTAGTAGGACTCTGTTGGACTCTGTAGGACTCTGTAGGACTTTGTGGACTCTGTAGGACTCTGGACTCTGTACTCTGTCTGTAGACTCTGTAGGACT